TCTAAACCGTGTTTCCGATGTGGGTAAGGATAGCTTTTAAGTGTCACCATATTTTCACATGACCCCGTAAATCCGTTTTACGGAGCCGTTGGTAAAATGAAAGTTTTTCCTTGAGCTCGTTAAGATAGCAATCCCCTTGAACCACATATGTGATTAGGAACCAGACTTCTGGACTAATGATTAGCTATTTTATTATTACTATAAGTATCTTTATGTAGAGTATGTAGATAGTATAATTTATAGTAGTAGTATATAATTTAGCCTACTTTTCTACAATTCTAACGACTGCTTTCTACATGTAAAATCAATATTTTCTACATTACTGTTGCTCGTGTATTACAGAAATATCGTCTTATGTGTTAGTATGGTGATACTTATAAAATATCTTTACTCCGGCAAGAAAATATTAATTAGGTAGCCTTTTTAGGTTAAGTAAGTATCCACATAGTTCAGTTTTCGAATCTAAAAAAACATTTCATATTTCTCTAGGTCACTTCGTAGGATTCCGAATTTTTACAAATTGAAGTATGATGGAGTGGAACCGACAAACACACGGGACATCGGAATGGCCATTTCTGGCTTATTAGCCGTCATCAGCTAGCCATACCCAATCCCAGGTGTGAATCCTCCAAACAAGCAACTGGCCGTAGCTCAGTGGTAGCGTGAACAAAGGGTTACGGGTTCGAACCTCGGGCGATCCACACCCGAGGTTGCGTATTACCGGCTGATGACGGCTAATAAGCCAGAAATGGTCATGCCGATCCCCTTGGTCTTCATCGGTTCCACTCCATCATATCTTACAAGTTCCCATGCGACTGTCTGCCAGAGCTCTAGACTGAGTTCCAAGGCACACAAGGGAGGAGCATGTTCCCGAACCAGATTATTGAGCGCCCTACCATTCAAAATGAGGCATGCCGAACCCAAGGGTAGGTACTGATATGACAACATGCATGAAACTAGACAGTGTAAACGAACGGCCGCGCGACTTTGGACACAAACCAGAAACAATAAGACGTAATGGTGGGGGGGGGAGGGGAGTGGAGTGCGGTTAAAGGTACGTGCATGTTTCTCAACGCTTACCTTGAGCAATGCGAAGCCAATGGGTGGAGCGGAAGTGTCGTGAACAATTGTCTTCGAGATGACGTCCCAATGATGTTTGCGAGTCAGCGAGACAAGAACCTCTTCATCGGTGTCCTTCGTCAGCTCGAAGGTGTACTAGAGCCAAAAGAGAAGAATGCGTAGACGTAAAGATCAGCAAGGAAGAGGAAAAGTTCTACAAGACAGTTCGTGCTAGTTAACAGGAAACCGTAGAGTCCTGTCTGCATGACCGCCCCCTCACTGGACGCAAAAAATGGTCATCAGGGGGCAAACACCCTTCATGAAAGACCAATGATAAATTCCTGTTGTAATCCGAGAGCTGATTGAAGCCTGGGCGTCGGATGACAACTCAGTTAACCGATGTATCGAGCTGGCGCCCGCATATGTTGCCCTGCGAAGGCATCTCCAGACTCACGGCACTGGTGCTTAATTGGTCCTCTCCCCCTCTTCTATGACGTTTAATTGACCCTTCCCCTATAAATGTTACTTATTTTCGTTGACGATTTTATTTCTGTAAATATTCCCACCCAACACGCCGATCTCGCTTACTTGTGCAGACTGAAATAATCCGCAGTGGCCAATCGGCGCCCACACCAGACAATTAATGATTTTCTACACGTTCAAACTAGCCATAACTAGCCCCACATTTTTTGCGGTTTCCTATCTCTGACGATGGATTCCTGTAGGAGTTCGAAAGCTCAGACTAATAAAATTATGATTCCGGTGATCGACGCAGCTTCTTCTTCTCAATCTATACATATGAGACTGGAATGGCCATTTTTGGCTTACTTACCGTCATCAGCCAGACCCGCGTGGTGCCCCATCCGAGTCTCAACCTTTTGATCAGAGTCAAACGCCTTAGCCAGTGAGCCAAGAGCTCGCTGTCTAGCCTGTTTAGGTCAGAGGATATTGACACTCGTCCACAGATAATAATAATCCACGTGTCTTAACCCTAACATAAAAGTAAACTGTAAACATAACCTTAACCTTGGCCCTACTCCAAACGTAAATCCTACGGCTAACACGAACCCAATCCTGGCTCCAATTTCAACTCTCACCCTAACCCCAACCCTAAACCTAACCCTCACCTTCATCATTAACCGAATGCCGCCTGAATTTGGCGACATACGCATGCACTGTGGACAGTCTCTGTTCCCGTGTCTTGTTCAGACTTCCATACAAGTTATCCTTGCCTTTTTTGGATGCCAGCACTTATTACACAGCATAACGCTTAGCGAATTCAGTCTCTAATGACAGATTCGAGCGAAAACCCGAAATGTCAGGCAAATAGCTCCCTATTTAAACCGACCGTGTGTTTTTATTCTTGACTGTTTCCTGGAACTTACCTCTTAGGATAATGTATTTATCCAAGTAACTGCTACTAGCAAGGCTTGTTTGGGTCGTGAATGGTCCGCCAACAACAACGATTAGGGACTAG